TGCGCAAGAGCTGAAGTAGATCAATCATGGACACTCAGCTTGATGTCGCTTGATTCAATCCTGAAAGCCATTCGAGGCTGCTAAAGCTGGGTTGAAGTCACCAGTGAAGCTGTATATCTGCAACTCCATCCTAAAGCTGCTAGAGGTAGACTTCGGTAAGTCCATATTCACCAGCTCATGCTTGGAAGGGCATATGAAATCACTCTTGAACCAGCAAGAAAAGGGGGTTAAAGCAGCGGGAAAGCACGTGCCTTTCCCTCCGCAGACGCGAAGAAGGCGCGAAACTTCAATTAACGCGTGTCTCACAACACGGCTACGGAAGGGTCACCAACCTGACCTCCCATGGCTTGACCTTCCCTGAGCAGTCTCTGGGCAAAGAAATTGACATCTGGATTCAGCTGTTTTAACTAGATAGCCTTGAGACCAGCACAGAATGGAAGTATCCGTTGACACCTCGTCGGATCTCTCTCCCCTTCCACCCCAATCATATCCCACTTCGCCGTCAGCATCGAGAAAGCGCTCAATCCAGGAGATTGAGGCATCACCACATTCGCCAGAAAGCAGGAAGACATCTAAAATATGTGATCAAGAAAATCAAGACCCATCATTACCTCACGTTGCAGCGTCCTGCACCCCGACCGAGCAACGTCTCAAAACACCATCAGGTCCCCCAGCCAGCATGGAAATTTCGAATCAACAGAATGTTGCGAATACAACAACGCCTGGCGGATCGGTGTTTGTAGAAGTTCCTCAGCCAAGCTCTACAGCGGAAACCACTTCAAAAAATACACAACCATCGACCCCTACGAAGAACGCCAACCCCGCTACGCCAAGTGCCAAAAAGCGAAAGCTGTCACCTGCAAGCAAAGAAGCCAAACAACAGGAGAAGGAAGCAAAAGAACGGCAGAAGTTAGAGGAGAAAGCCAAGAAAGAAGAGGAGAAGCGCATAAAGGAAGAAGAGAGAAAAAAGCGCGAAGCCGAACGGGAGGAGGAACGTAAGCGAAAAGAAGAGAAGAAGAGGCTGAAGGAAGAGGAGAAGGCCGCTAAAGAAGAAGAGAAACGCAAGAAAGAAGAGGAGAAGTTGAAGAAGGAAAGGGTAAGCATCTTGCCATCCAAAGATGGCACTTTTCAATCCAATGGCCTCTTCTGCTTGCTAACCTCGGATTAGGCGCAAACGAAACTGAATGCATTTTTTGCCAAACCCAAACCTCCAGTACAGCCAGCTAACGATACTGCTTCCGACTCACCCAAGATACCGATCGCCGATGGTGCCTCAAACTCGACGTCCCAGAATCCCACTCCGCCTCTTTCTGACTATCAACGAGAATTTCCGGACTTCTTTTTACAGTCTCACACAAGAATCGCCCCGCCGCACCGGTTCGAACGCGATCCAGAGGCTCTTTCTCACTTGCAAGAAAGGGTCGATGCTTGCCTACAATCCTATCGAAATGGGTCCGCGGAGCCTCTGTCATTCCGCCCATCTGAACTATTCCGAATCATGCCGTATAACCGGCGGCGTGGAAGACAGGTTGCCTCCGTCAAAGAGATTCTGCTTAAAATGCAGAGTCTCAACGAGCAGTCCGACCCTCATTCTGCACGGCAGGCGCAAGAATTGCTCAGACGCATCAAAATGAAATCTCTGAAGTTTGGTGAAGATGTTCGACCTCCTTACCAGGGGACTTTTACCAAAACACTTCCGGAATCTGCTGCTTCTAAACTCATGCGCAATCCCTTCCACCGTGGTCTACCCGATATCAACTACGACTATGATTCCGAGGCCGAGTGGGAGGAGCCGGAAGAGGGCGAAGATCTTGATTCCGAGGAGGAGGAGGAAGGAAGTGAGGAAGGGGATGATGACATGGATGGGTTCTTGGACGACGATGAGGATAACCTAGAGGGCAAAAGACGATTGATAGTGGGAGATTTGGAGCCTCTGAGTACCGGGATACGTTGGCAAGGCGAAGGCGGAGACCACGAGCTGGAAATGTACAGGATCCAGACGACCATGGACTCGGTTACCTTCCCTATTGACCCATTCTCCACGGCATATTGGCAGAAACCAAAGCCAGCAGAGCAACTCCCAGCAGGTGGCGTGGGCCGTTGCACTCTCCAATCATTCATGGTCGTTCCTCCAAGCACTCAATCCCAAACCGCTGCGCCTACTACCGCAGGAGTAACCCCGACCCTCATAACCGCAAGTGGCAAGGCGAAGCGCACATTGACACCAGAGCAACTGGCCGAATTTAAAGAGGTGGTTAATGGTAGCGATCTGACGAAAACAGGCCTGATCGAGGTTTTGAAGAAAAGGTATAAGCTCTTCTGTTGGCCCCCCGGACGAGTTTCAGTTCAGCTTCGTGCTAATGACGCTTCACTAGATTTCCCAAGGTATCGAAAGACGTCCTTAAGGAGACCCTTACTCACGTGGCGACGCGTGTTGGACAGCGGGAGGTTGACAAAAAGTGGGTGTGCAATTAGGGGAGGAAGGGAGGACAATATCCATATCAGCGTTCATCCGCAAGATATACACTGGCTCGGTTTGCAAAGATGGGAGTTATGGCGTACGTCGTTATTCTAGAATCACTGTGGGGCAATTCCCAAGACGTCTACGGGTTGAGCGTCTGTGATTTCATGGTCATTTGTGGGAAAACAGCATGGATCGAGTCAACTGATTGCATTTACGATACCTGTGCTGGCTGTGGCACTTGAACTTGTCGCGTCTCATCTTTAGGTCGCAGAAGCGAAAACGATAGCAGAGATTTAAGATTGAACTATATTATCCTCCATTATGATATTCAATGTAACAATAGCATATGTGCAGACTTCGATTCTGTTCTTCAGCTCACCTTGAACGAGTGCCAGGACAGCTGAACGGGTCTTAGGGAACCTGCTCTTCTCTTTCGTGGGCTGGACATAGATCACGGTAACCTAGAGAGGTTTAGCCTGATCTCTGCGGTTGTCCGATTGGGACACGTGCCATGTGGGGAATAACAGCCTGTCTTCTTGTTACGTAGTAATTTTGACTCAGGTCCAAGTGCTCATCCCAGTGTATCCGTATGTAGCGGGAAGTATCCCTCTACCGACTGCTGTCCACCCGGAAAATAATATTTCGAACTTCGGAATCCTTGGAGTCTCTATGGTCTACTATCTATATGCACCTGCAAGAGAATACCTTACCGTATGCAGGCGTGATAATCATGAGGATGAGTCTTTTTTCCATTTTCATGGAGGTGTTCAATAATCACCAGAGGAGAGGAGAGTCAAGAGACAGCTGGTGGGAGGGATGAGGAGGGGGACTGACCAATCAAGACAGGAAAAGGGACAACTCGCCATGCATGCATTGCCAACACATCAACTATCCAGGGCTGTCTACTCCGTACTCCGTTCCCTTCAAGCATCAACGTTCCCCATCAATCCGCGACACGATGACAGGATACGATACCCTTGGTCTAGGTACTTCGGAAAGGTACTTACATAGGAAACTACAATAGGCCAGGTACCAACTACTCCAGAGTCAGCCCAGTAACAAACTCCTCTCATTTGACGCCGATGCGCTTTCGTGGCCATCTCCAGCCATCCATCGAGTCGAGAAGGACGATCTGCGACCGGATCAGAATCATCTTGCCTCTAGACGATCTGCAAGGCGACCGAGTGGGAAACGTCTCTGACTTTCGCGGAGGTTATCGAAGAATTCCTTCCTCCGTAGTCTGTGTACTTGCTCGTTATCGATGGCGAAGGAGCAAACACAAGTACGACGAAGTAGCAAATAATACGGAGTACCGAAAGCCTTGATTCAAACTACAGCACTCTGGCATCGAGGCAATATTACCATTATTATTGCAGAACAGCGACTCTGACTCAAGAGTTCTGCTGGTCCTACACTAAATAAAACTCTCAGCAACCATCAAGAAAGGGACACACGTTATCTGGCCCCTCTTCCAGCTGGGATCATTTGTAGCAGTAGTAGTAGCATTATTGATTTGTTGGCAAGAGTCACGACTGCATCTCTCCAGTATCTATCCATCCACTCATCCATCCACTCGTCCTCCATTTCTTCTTTCGTTTCTGCCCCTCTGCAGTCTGCATGTCATCCTTCTACCGTTCGACGTACTTAGTCAAGCATCCATCCTCAAAAAGATAATCCTATCTCATCCATTATCTATCCTAGGTATTGTCTCTTTCGTCGGGTCCCCTCTCCCACTTCCTCTTCTGCAAACCAGCCTTCCAGGCCTTAGCTCGCATACTACGGTAGAAGAAGACTATTTGTTGACTTCTTCAATCCTCTCTAATAATTATCTGCCTATTTCCCATACGACGTATCATCACTGTCATTGATTGACATCTTCACCCTCTTTCTGGATTCCTGCATCACACTAGCACAGCGCCTCTCTGACCATCACTCTTCGTATAACTGCGACAAAATCCCCGAGCTTCCTCGCGTCCACTGCTTCGTCTTACTCACTGCGCTTTTCACAGCTATCCATCTCACTCTGGAGCGGTCGGCAGTTGCGAACAATCCTCAACATCGTGATGAGGAGCGGTCTTCCATCTCATCAAGTTCAGTAGGAGAATCATGTGCTAAGGAGCAGGTTTCTGGCGCCCGAGCCATTTCGCGATCTCGACTGTCTTCTTGGCTGGGTGGCCGGGGCACTGTCCATGGCAACACCATGTTCGATGCCCAACGCGATGGTCTACCGTCAATTCTGGCCTCTTATGTGACCTGTGAGTACACCCTATCCCTTTGCCTCCGTTATTCCAAATCTAAATTGGATGGGAGAGCGGATTCCTTCCTCTTGTGACAAGCAAAAGTTTCCCCCCTTGTTCAGAACCCTCCCGCCAATAATCGTTTTTTTGAGGCGCTGATTTCCAACTCTGATTTAACTAATATCCCTATCTCAGACCTGTTACCCGTATCATCTCAGGCTACTGCAACATGTAATTCCACGAGTCGCGCGCAAGATTCCTCTTCGGTGTCTCAGCCATCTACTGTTCCAACTCCCAGCATGTCGCCCTTGCTGTTGGTTCCCGACGACGGGAGCGTTGATCGCTCCTCCGTTTCACAGGTTGATCTGACCATAGGTGAGTCTGAGGACTCGGGCCGTTCCAGTGCGCAATTCATAGCAGCTCCCATGCGCTCGGATGGCCGCCAGGCAATGGATCAACCACCAGCAACAACAACCACACCACCATCCATATTAACGGAGCCCCCCAAGGTCTCCTTTGAGGATTTTGCGATCCGCTATCGCCAAAATCAGCACAAGCAAGCCCGTCGCAAAACGCTGGAAAACCGTCTTCATGCCACCAAGATATCCATTGGTATCTCCGCACGCTTGGTTCGCGTTGGAGGCGTCGTGCAGCGCGGTTTAGTCGAAAGTCTGAAACATGAGGATAAGGCGAACTTCCTGGCCTTGTATCATACCCTCTTGGATCTCCAGGATTCCCATGATCTGGCCATGCGTCGCCACTTCCACCGGCAGGACCCTTCGGAAGACTGGTCTTCTGCGCAGGAATCTGCTGTGGAACGTTCCCCGGATTTTTTCCTTCAGCTCAGCCCTCAGTCAAGGTCCGATCTTCTTGGGATTTTGCAGTTGGTCCGGACCAACCCTCAGTTCCTTTGTGAGAGATTATGCAGCTTGACGTCTGCGCAGCTGAATGCCTTATTATCCACGTCAGCCACATCTCTGGACTCTGGTGATCACACATTCCTTTCTGCGGCCCGTTCACGGAACCATTTTTCTCTGCCTAAACGCGCTTCTGCTGCATCCATTCCTTTCCGAGATCATGCTGTCAATTTTGAGAGAACGGACGCCATTTCCAACTTGGTCTTCAATGTTTTTGCTACTCCCTTGGACTCTGATACCCCAGAGGCTCGCTTGCGTTTGGACGTTTGGTCTTCTGTTTGCGCTGAACTTATCACCCAAGGAGGCAATAGGTTCTATCCCCTCATTGGCCACATCCTCTCATCCTGGACCATGGGCAGCGCCTGGAAAGCCAGACCAAAGTTCGAGCTCTACCTCATGGACATCCTCCAGACTGGCGCGTTCCTCCTGGAGCATATCGAAACCCCAGCCGGACTGGGCTTTGACGCGGGGTCCCTTGACCCCTTGAAAACTGATGTTGCTGAGGAATATTTCGCCTCTGCTGTAGATGCCCTATTCAAACTCCTTGATGACCCAGACGCAGGCTTCCCTCATGCAGTGTTCAAGTTTGCTCGCGCCATTTTGCGGAAACTGGGTCATCCCGACAGTCGTGCCCGTTTTCTAGAGTATTTGCTCCTCCAGTGGTTCTTCCCTAAATTTCTCTCTGGGGCTCTTGCTTATCCCGAGGTCTGTTCCAGTCCGTCTTTGAGTGTTATGATTTTTGGACTCGGAGAGAACTGATCTCCTCTTTCTTCTTAGACCCTCGGCCTTCTTCTCGATTTTCATATCAGAAAAGATGCCAGAGAAAAGCTCCTTGGACAGGTTGCCCTTAGGGCGTATTCGCAGGTCTTTGCTATTCTACGCTCAATGTAAGTCCCACCTTTTTTGAACTTTCCCTGAGAGAGAGAGAATTGTTTTAAACCATTGATCTTCTGCGGCAGGCATCACTTTTCAATGACTCGTCCTGCGGTCCGGCAACATGTTGAGAACATGCTTCATCAGTTCGAGACAACGGACAACGACAACATGCAATTTGCCCAGCGCTCAGAACCCAGAGGTCATCAGGAATCACCGTGCGCTTTTCTCATGCTATCTGCTACAGACGTGCTAACCCTACTGGGCGCCCTGTTTCCCACGGCGACATCTCCGGCATGTAGCTCTCCCACTCCCTCCTCCGCATCATCTGTGTTGTCTCCCAGCTCCTTGCAGTCGTTCCCTGATAGACGTACCAACACCGTCCCAGAGCCAGGGTTCTACCGGCGTAATCTGAGTGGTAGCTCTTCTCCGCAGTTTTCAAAGGCATTCTCCTCCGCAGACATCCACTTCTTTACTTGCTCAGAAGATCACCTGAGTCGCAACGCTGACCGTATCCGCTTTGAATTGTCTGCTTTGGTCGAGCCTGATGGTCGTCCCGGTCTCGCGTACCCCTCCACGGAAGAATGGGCCATCTTCTCTGTCACCGACGGCGGTCATCGCCTAGTCTGGGGTTTATTCTCCAATGGCCAGCTCAGCGATGCTGGAAACTTGACCGCTGATACCTGTCCGTCCACCACTCTGGGCATGGAGGACAACTTCGAGGCTCTCCACACAGCGATCATCAAGCTCGTCCGGGAGAACCCTACTGGAGATCGCTCAGACTACTGCGGGGAGCGGGACCAAATGGCCCCTTCACAATCCTCTTCGCTGAAGAAAAGATTCAATCAGGCCATGTCACACTGCCACCATACTTCTGATTTTATGGGTGCCCACTATTGGTGGAACGCTAGTCGTCAGCTTCGTCGCAGTGTCGCCGACGTACCCTCTCGCCTTGGTGATGACTCTTGGATCCTGGAACCTATGCACACGTCGTGCTCACGCTCGCTTCGGGTAGCTCACTCCGTGATCGAGCGCTGCGAAACCGACTTTGTGGCACTGGATCGCAGTTTGTGGCAACTGCAGGGAACTGTGAAGGAGACGATCAAAACCATCACGAAGTTGCGAAACAAGATGTGGTACATGACCGACGTCAAGAACTCGATGCGGTACGAGGACGCAAGGAATGTGGCATTGGCACTGAAGACGATGGTCTACTCCGCTCGTCTTTATCAACCAATCTCTACCAACGACCGTCGAACGCGCAGCAGCCCCCGCGCATCGGGAGGATCCGTTCTGCAAAAGCCAGAGTTGCAAGTGATGAATGTCATGAAAGCACCCAGCAGCCAAGGCGGCCCGAATAAACTGTCTGATGAGCAAGTCGAGTTGACTCGGAAATGGCTAGCACAGAACAATATCGACAATTTTTGCAAGGGCGAAGAGCGTATTCACCGCTTCTGTTACGAGGTCAAAGTTAGTATCAACCGACTCATCGGTGATACAATGGCCGAGGCCCCTGTTCTCTGGGCCAGCGAATTGTTCCAAAGGGAGCGAGTCAAGTTCGAAGGCTCCAGCAACCGAAGCTTCCTTGGCCTGTCCTCGTCAAGTTTGCGCCCAATGAGCACTGCTGGTGAAGAGTTGTCATTTGCTTCCCAATCCTCTGGCGGCAGTCTCCGCTCGTCCGATTCCTTCTCCAGATACACTCAAGACCTGCCGCCACTGAATCGCAAATCCTCCTTTCAAAGCTCGATTTCCGATAAGTGGAGGATGCCCCGAGACCCCTCTACTGCTGATGGACTTTCGATCGGAGACTCGCCTTCCAAGGCAACCTCGGTATCAACGGCTGACACATACAGTACGTTTTGGTCTGTACCACATCAGAATGCGCCCTATGCAGCAAGTGCATCGAGTTTCTACTCCCGCCCGCCGTCGATGCTCAGTGAGGCCGTCGTTCAGCCGGCTCCCCAGAAGGATTTCAGAGGTCAAGGCAAAGCCGCTTTCCTGGACGAATTGAAACAGGCTCTGACAAGTCTGCTGCTGAGTGATCTGGGTTCACCCGTCTGGAGCTGTGGAAGCGAGACAGACGCCTGGTTTGGAAACGCATTGGACCAAGAGCGAATCCGGGTACAAATGAAGAAGCGAGAGAAGATCCAGCGCTTCTATGCAGAGTGCAATGCACGCACAGTCCGCCAAATAACCAGATACTACCAGTCCAGGGGCCGAAGAAGCAGGTCACTAGGGCCTCCCATATCGGGACGGGCTCAAGAGTCGCATGATACAACCTCAGTGCCCATGTCCGAGAGCGCGAGAGCGGCTGAAGATCAATCTCCATTCTCGTACGGGGTTGTCTTCCGCCAATTGATCGAGATATTTTCGCGCCACGGGAACCCGTTCGTCAAGCTAAACGCATTGCGGGATTTGAGAGCATTGGTCATCGCGTCCTTGAACGTGGATAATGATGACAAGGCCTATGCGCATGCTGATCAGGAACGTGCGCACTCGAGGGAACTCGGGCTCCATGGCAAACGAGCTGCACGGCATAGCTTCTCAGAAGCAGGAACCCTCCGTGAAGCTGAGAAGGACTTCCTGCAAACTCCGACGTCTCCAGCGGCCGAGTCTGTTGCTTTTGACTCTCGGCCTTCGGAATACTCCGCACCTACGGAGAACCAAATTGTGGACGCGCTGCGTAGCCTTCTCTTAGAAGTGAAGCCCAAGACTCTTTTCCGAGACCTACAATTTATTTCAGCATTCGTTCCCAGCGAGACACTCAATAAAACCGACAGTGGAACCGCATTTTTGCAATTTGGCTTGGCAGCGTTAAGTCTCAAGGAAGAGGTCTGCAACAGCATGGTCGAGATTGCCGACAGGATTGTCTCTCAGGAACTGAGCCGACGCCATGTGCCTCAACCCTTCGGCTTCAACGCCCGACCGAGCCACGCTATTGAGGATGCTGCTGGGATGTGGATCATCACCGCAAAAGAAGGAAATCCTGTCGCCCAGCGGGAGCTAGCGATTCTCTATTTAACCCATCCGGAGCTTCTTCCTCGTGTCACGCTGCCACTTACTTCTCCCAGAGATACATTCAAGGCTGAGATGATGTACCGCCGTGACAAGGACAGCAAATCCGATCCGCAGAGCATGTGCCTGGCGCTGCACTGGATGCAGCTGTCAGCCAACGGAGGCGACCAACTCGCGCGGAACAGGCTTCGCGAACGCGAGGAGTTTGATTCCATCGCTTGATTTACGTATCAATACCCGTGTCGTTTCTTGATTGGACTTGGGTGCTATCATTTCTTTTCTATCTTTTGGCACTTTACATTTGCTACATTTCTTTTTTGTTTGATACCACGCTATGGTTGTTGTTATCCCCTGAGCCTAATATCTTGTCATTTCCACACCGGGTCTTTTACTTCCGGCTGATTTTTAGTGCAGATACTGCGCTTTCATTTCTGCGAGCTTAGAGCATCTCGGCCGCCTGCGTTTATTCCTTGTAGTTGTATCGTCCTAGCATGTCAGGTTGGGACACTCGTTTAGCACGCTTGGACAAGAGGTCTTGGTTCTACTCGTTTTTCCTGGTCCTCGACTTTTCGTTCACGGCCTTTGTCTTGAGGGTGGCGGTCTGCATACTTGTCTGGCATATACCATCTAACCTTTCTTCTCATGGCTTGAATGCTTGGAGTTGAACACCGTGTATTGGATTTGGAAGACATAGGTTTGGCGGCATTTTGTTTCTGGACCCTGGTACTAGAGACGAGCATGATAGGCGAATATACAGAAGTGTCTGAACTCGTTAAGGTTTGTTCATCAAATATGTCAATAGCCGGGACATTGCGACCTAGTCGTAGACTAGGCGACGCATACGACCTCGATGTAGCATTGATGAATTGGAATTATTACCCTCTTGAGAGTGGTGCATTGATGCATTTGCCCGTCGACGTCATCCGCTTGGTTGCCTCCACGTGCTTCACCCACCTAGTCCCTAGCAGTAGAGTGGTGCCTCCTACCAAATAGACAATTTCAGCACATTTCCCTGTATGTCTCACTTATCCTGCTACTGTACTACACTCAAGTGAGCACAAATTCAGACTGTTATCTGAACGTCGCACGATCGTCTTCAAGGGCCTCGAAGTCTCGCACTGACCGTACTCTGTGTATTGTTAGCTTGACTCTGGTCACTCGGGAGGCTGAGAAGACCCCGCTAGAAACCCAAAATAACAATCATCCACTGTCATCAGCATCATTCCGTTCGGGTGTTACTCAGCTCTGACTGCTGGTTGATTTGGGCTGAAATCGCACCTGACACTCTCTATCGTTGTCTGACTTGGAAAGCGTTGATACTTCTTGTTTTTGTCTCCGTTTCTTTTTCTTTCGTCTTTCCAACCACTGTCTTAACTTCTACTCTTTTTCCCTTGTATTCTTTGTTTTTCTTCTTTGGTCTTCCCCGCTACTCTTTTCTTCTTCAACTCGACGTGATTCCTACGCAAATGATGACCATGGCGCATAACCATGAGGGTGTGCCCAAGCGGCCCAAGGGTAAGTTCTACTTGGTTCAAATGACGTTGAGCGTTGTTTTGACTAGAATCCGCTACAATCAGGCATCCTCAAGAACTCCAGCGGAAATGTCCCTCAGACAACTCACGCGACAGAGAATTTCTTCATCAACCCAGCACGCATGGACAACGTCGATACGAAGGAAATTACCTTGCAGAACACACTTCAGAATGCTGGTCGGCGCCGGTCGTCATCCAACATGCGCCCTGGGTCGTCCTCCCGACGACAATCTTTGGCGAGCATCCGCGGCCACGACGAGGAGATCTCTCCGCGCTTGAAATGGGACGAAGCGAACCTGTACCTGACCGAGCAGGAGAAAACAGCCAAGATGAAGATCGACGAGCCCAAGACACCGTTTGCTCCGCACTACGATCCCGCCGAGGACGAAGAGGAACTGCGACTCGCAGAAGCAGAGGAGAGCCTGATCGATGCGCAGGACGTGGTGGTCGATGAACTGGACAAGACCAAGAAGGGACCTCGGAAGGGGATCTCCGTGGATGATATTCCTGACCTGGAACTCGGAGAGCCCGAAGAGCCGTCATATGTAGTGGGCAGCGGAGAGGGGAATCGGATCATCCGCGAGCGCAGTCTGAGCAACGAGTCGCACCGCAGCGACAAACATGTTGTAGTCGGCACAGGAGAGGAGAACGGTGTCGGTGCGGATGGGGATCATCTCATGACGACAGAAGAGGCCAAAGAGAAGCATCGCCAGTTTGAGCAGATGCGCAAGAAGCATTATGAGATGAGGAATATCAAGGAACTTCTAGCGTAAGTGGCCGTCTTCTTTGATGGTGTCGGCGCGTACTGACTCTGGCTGATTCCAGGCATCCCGAAGACCTGGAAGAGATGGAAGAAGATGATGACGACGACAACGACAATGGCTCAGTAAACCCACCACAATGACCAGGATCCCAGTGAACTTCACAATCCGCGATTCTCAATAAGATTATGTCAATCTGCGACCTTGGATTCCCGCCTTCGATGAGTGCTTGTGTCTTATTTCTGTCAGTGTATATTCCCCAGCGATTGCATTTTTCTACGTTGTGAAGAGTATCAGGGGTGCTTGGGTGTGAAACTCCCACCCAGGCCATTCTCTCTTCATTTTTTGACGAATAAACCCCACCGTCCCTGTCAGCTTTTCAGTCAGGATAGACGATATGTATGCGAAATTGTATGGGTATTGAGGGTAAATAGGACTCGGTTCAAGAAATATATTGCCACTTGTCTAGTCTCTCTGCTCTTTGGTGAATTGAGTTCGAGTCATTAAGTCAGGGATAATAAGGTGCTATCTAGACTACCCCGTGGCTATTGACAGCGAATCCTCCTTTTCTGGGGATGATCATTGTCTTTACCTGTGACAACCGTAATGTCTTGCCTTGATTATCTAGGTGGAGTCGATTGAATTGTCTCTGGGTCCAATTTTCTTGATTGAACATATAGATAGATAATCTTACACAGGAACTATTCTGTAAGACATCGTTGGACCGCAATTTCCAAGGGCTTAATGAAGGACTGTATTGATCCTATGGAGTTACTCTGTGCGATTATCTTGTTTGAGGCTGATGGTCGATTATGTATCCATCTGTCATTCTCATCAGCAAGAAAGTGATAAACGAAAAGATGATGCCTGACATGCTGGTGTTGACTTATCAATTGCTGGCTGGTCCGAATGTTTGTTTGTTGTGCTGAAAAGGGGTTTACTACGTCAATATACGGAGTATACTTTGTTGGTAAAAATAGAACCTACAAAGTGGATGTAGAGACTAACAGAAGGACTGAATAATAATTCAGGGGATAGGGAAGTATCCTTTTCATTTTTTTTTAGGTTTCAAGACAGACATTATTATATGTAGAAGGGATTAGGGAGTAGATAGGGAATTGTCTCATCTATATTTACCATCTCGTGACGCTGCATGTGATTCTTGTTTGTCTTCCTGCATCAATCTTCTGATTTCTCTGTCCTTCTCTCCCGTCCATCAGCTCACAGGCTCTCTTCTTGAGCAAGACGTCCAGTCAATAGTCATTAGCACTTCCTGATCTTCCTATTCTTTCATTTCACTCACCATGGCCGACCAACAGCCCGAAAAGACTACTGCTCCTGCTACTGATGTCGCAGACTCGCAGCCTGCCGTCGTTACCAGCACTGACACCCGCAAGGAGACGACCGAGACCGCGGAGCCACTACCAGAGGACAAGACCGAAACCACAACCGCGCAGCCTGCCGTTGAAACCACTGCCACCCAATCCGGCACCGCAGAGACTCCCGCCGAAGTGCAGCAACCGCCCCAGGCCGAAGAGGAGAAGCCTGTCGCTCAGCAGCCGGAACAGCCAGCCTATCTTGCCAAAAACCCTGCCCTCGCTCAGTTCTTCGAGCGTCTCCCTGCCATTGTCTCCAGCAGCGGCCATGCGGAAATGTGGGGTGTCCCGCTCAAGGACTCGAACGATGCTCCCACCGTCAACGTTCTGATCAAGTTCCTGCGCGCGAACGAGGGCAATGTCAAGCTGGCTGAGGGGCAGCTTACCAAGGCCTTGAAGTGGCGCAAGGAGATGAACCCCTCAGCGCTCGCTGAGTCGACCAGCTACAGCGCGACCAAGTTTGGTGGTCTGGGTTATTTGACCGTCTACAAGGAAGCTAATGGTGCGGAGAATGTTGTCACCTGGAATATCTACGGTGGTGTCAAGGATATCAACACCACTTTTGGTGATATGGATGAGTGAGTACATCTGCCGAAGGGAACCTAATGTCCCGCGGGATCCTAATCATTGTTTTACACTTGTAGGTTTGTTAAGTGGCGTGTTGCGCTTATGGAGCTGGCAGTCAAGGAGCTGAAGATGGCAGAGGCGACCTCTGTGATTGACTACGATGGCGAGGACCCCTATCAGATGATCCAGGTCCATGACTACCAGAACGTGAGCTTCCTGCGCCTGAATCCTGCCATCAAAGCAGCTACCAAGAAGACCATTGAAGTGTTCACCACAGCTTACCCTGAGCTGCTCCGGGAGAAGTTCTTCGTCAACGTCCCTGCCATCATGGGCTGGATGTTCGCCGCCATGAAGGTCTTCCTGAGCAAGAATACCACTCGCAAATTCCACCCCATCTCAAACGGTGCCAATCTGGCTCGCGAGTTCCCTTCTCTGAAGGACCAATTCCCCAAGGTCTACGGTGGCAGCGCCCCTGCTCTTCAGGAGGGAGCGAGAACCGTCAACCTCAGTCAGGACGAGTCTGCCCCGGCTGCCCCTGAGCAGTCAAAGGAGCAGACCAAGGAGAACAAGGAGGAGGCCGCTCAGGAGGAGTCCAAGCCTGAGTCTGCTCCAGAGCAGCCAAAGGCTGACCCTGCTGTCACGGCCCAGGAAGCCCCTGCCGCCGATGCTAAGTGAGCGTGATAAGACCGTCACAGGCTCGGATTTGACATATTAAAAGGAATGGAACAGGAGAAACAGGCATGATACCCGGGAGGATAGGCAGACTGCTTTGTTCTCGTTTTTGTGTGGGCATATTTGATACCTCGGAATTGCTACGTTTTTGCGAAAGGAGTAGAAACAGCTTAACTAGATCATATATACTTAATTAATACTAATAATGATATAGAAACTCCAACTCTAGATGAGCTTTCTGCGCCTGTAGTTGTAAGTATTCTCATCTTTGGATCCCTGTCACATGAGGAGCAGTAGCTGGTGTATGGTAGTCCAGAGATACCAGAGCCGCAGTTTCTTCCGCACTCCGCAACACTTTCGGTGTTCGCAAGAGCTGTTCGGGTCGATCTAAGCCCTCATCTTCCTCTACAATCGATCACCTCGAGCCAACTGCCTTGAACTGTCAGAATGCGGCTTGTCCCTCAGAAATTATCCCGCATGTTTCAATAAATCAGATTTACTTCCTTCGAACTCGCGATACGATACTTTCATCGAGCCCCTCGTCACCCACCCTTACCTTACTCCTCACGAGCTTGACTTCGCTCGCACCTCACCCTAACCTTCAAAAGCGAACAATACAGGCTTCACCATGTCAGTTTGGAACCCAGATAACATTCGCGACGTTGCGGAGTCCGTCGGCATCGTCAATCTCAGCAACGACGTGACCGAGAACCTCGCGCGCGACGTCGAATACCGCATCGCACAGGTCCTCGAAGAGGCTCTCAAGTTCATGCGACACAGTCGCCGGACGCTGCTTACCACGCAGGATGTTGCGCAGGCACTGCGGGTCCTGGACGTGGAGCCACTGTATGGATATGAGACCACACGGCCGTTGCGATTCGGGGAGGCGTCGCTGGGGCCCGGGCAGCCGTTGTTCTACGTCGAGGACGAGGAGGTGGATTTTGAGAAGTTGATTAATGCGCCGTTGCCCAAGGTGCCGAGGGAGATTTCTTTTACTGGTTGGTGTTTCTACAGCTGGCGTTTTAGGTCTGTGTTTTATGCTAACTGGTTTTACTGTGCAGCTCATTGGTTGGCCGTTGAAGGTGTGCAGCCGTCCATTCCGCAGAATCCTACCGCTGCCGACTCGAGGAACCTCGAATTGACCGCCAAGGGGCCCAATGCCAACTCGACGTTGGCGGCGATGAGCGGCACTGGGAACGTGGCTGTTAAGCCGCTGGTTAAGCATGTGCTGTCCAAGGAACTTCAGCTCTACTTCGAGAAAGTCTGCAATGCTTTTCTGGATGAGTCGAGCGAAGAGTACCGGACGTCGGGCTATGCCAGTCTGCGCGAGGATCCGGGGCTGCATCAGCTCGTGCCGTACTTTGTACAGTTCATTTCGGAAAAGGTGACGCACGGGCTCAAGGATATTTTTGTGCTGACGCAGGTCATGCACATGGCGGAGGCCCTGGTGCAGAACAAGTCGCTATATGTGGATCCTTACGTACGATTACTCTTCTTGAAGTGCCTTTCATGGGAATGTCTGCTAATTCAAATTAGATCGCGTCCCTTGTTCCTCCTATTCTGACCTGCCTGATCGGCAGACAGCTCGGTGGCAATGCAGACTTATCAGAACAGTTTGCTCTGCGCGACCTCGCCGCTTCTCTCCTCGGCCTCATCTCCAAGAAATACTCTCACTCATCGCATACACTTACACCTCGACTCGCCCGCTCCTGTCTCAAGACTTTCCTTGATCCGTCTAAACCATTCGGAGCGCATTATGGTGCGGTCATTGGCTTGAATGCCGTCGGTGGCACCGAAGCTGTTCGAGTCTTGATACTTCCTAATCTATCAACTTACGCAACCCTTCTCGCGGACGGCATGGCAGAAGACAACCCTCGACGACCGGAGGCCGAAAAGGTGCTGGGTGCACTGTTGGCCGTCCTCTCCACCTTGCGGGAGGGCCGTAAAAATCTGGCCAATGGGCACGGTGCCGTTGTGACGGACGAGCTCCGCGAGCGACTAAACGCCAAGGTGGGGGATATCGTCGCAAGCAGGATCGCGGATGCGGGAGAGGTGCAGATGGCCTATGCTATTCTCGAAGCTTGAAACATTTGTCAGTTGCCAGCTTTGGCTTCCTTTTGTGCCTCTGCCTTTCCTCTCTTGTCCATCTGTTTTCTTTTGAGTCATTCATATTGCAGCTGTGCCTTGCATCTTGGCGGCGGGAAGGATTTCATTGGGCTTTGGCGTTTCGTGGCGTACGAAGTGGGAAACATCTGTGGTTATTTCTCGCTTGATCTCTTCTGTCCTGAGACAGGCAAATTATCCAGAGCAGAATGTATTCGTCTAGAGCTCTGTCTATTGTTTATTATCGATCAAAAACCTAAGGAATCATCCATTCAAAGCTCTAGGAAGAGAGGTAGCTCTGGTCTACGTTGATCAGACTGAGACTGGCGACGTCATCACGTCAATTGAATCTCACCGCCTACCAGAATCAGCATAGAATCATTGTGTCGCGCGACAGTCTGTTGGGTGCCTCAGGCATTCTCTCTGGCTGCCCAATTTGGACGGAGGTAAAATCCGGTGTCGAGTCACAAAAGCGTCAGCTACAAATTCTAGGAGTACACTCTACAGAATCCAATTATCAATTGCAAGATACTCAAGACGTCCACGTTTTCGGTCGCAAGAGAATCATCTAACGTTTCAGGCTTCCTTGATTGACGACTGGAGTGTTCTTCCTTCCAGCCCAATCTTCGGAGTAGTTAAGTCTTAGCGTCAGTTGCGCCCCACGAACCAACTTTTTTTTCTTTCTTCCTTCGTTCTCCCACTATTTTTCGCTCTGCCCACAGTCAGTCCTCTATAAATAATAACCTCCGTCAACCTCCAACGGCTGCCTACTCTGCCCGACGAAAACAAAATCCATCAATTCTATATCCCTGACACTGTGAGAAACTTGTCTTATTGCTCTTATTTCTCTGTCTTTGCCATCCTCTAATTTACCGTCATAAAAAGGCGACCGGGCTCTCGGATCTTGCAGTGTATCTTTGCTCTCGCAGATGTCCAGAGCTGTGGCCTCGCGCTACGTCGTGCTATTTTGAGCTCGATTTGACTTTTGCCTTCCATGAACCCAAAGGACTTGCTGCGATTCTTGTCTAAGCCAGCAAAGTAAGTCCTTTTTTCTAATATACCATTTCCATGCGCCTGGTGCTACCGATCGCATCATGCCCATGACCCCCCTCGTCAAGGCACACAGTGAGCTGTACTGACTCAATTGTTCCTCCAGGCCTCGATAACACGACTCACATCCAGAGTCATCTCCTTCCACGTTTCCAATTATCTTCTCGTTTCTTTGCAAAAAAGCAGATACTCTCGTCTGCTAGACCCGATACTTTGATCGGTATCGGTATCTTCCAGTACGAGGGTGCTCGGCATATAGTCACAATTCCTTTTTCAAGAGGCTTTTTCCTCCTCTCCCTGTCCTTTCGCCCTCCCTAGCATCCCTTTCGGGCTTGTGTTAATTTCGTCCATCTGGCCTGTGTGCCATTCTCTTTATTGCGATAAAGGGCCTACTCTCTCAGGCGGACATAGCCCCCCCTGTTCGTCTGGGCAGCAGATAGTGCTTCCTAGGCTTCTGTGTCTACGGTCAACTACATATACACCACTGCGTTGCTCCACGTTTCAATAATCGGTCTCGCACCAGCATACGTCACGCAATTCATTACGTCAATCAGCGGAAATGGTCTACATCGGCATCCCCAAGAACTACACGGCTTCGCCGTCTTCCTTTGCCGGAACTCCGTCCTTGACGATCAATTACGAGGCAACGCAGGATCTTGATTCTACGAATGCTTTCGAAGGTATGTCGACGCCGGTGACGTGTCTGAAAGCAGCATTGGGCAGAGGCTGACAGTCTACAGGTCCAGAGAAACTCTTGGAGGTGTGGTTCGCGCCTTCCGCTCAGGAATTAGGTCCGGCGCAGCCTGCCGGCCTAAAGGCTGTGCCGGAGGAGATCTGGAAGGACATGCTGGATCTCGTCAATTGCCAGGTCCTCTCTATTGTCTCGTCAGAGGATGTGGACGCCTACCTGCTCTCCGAGTCCAGCATGTTCGTCTGGCCTCACAAACTCATCCTGAAGACCTGTGGTACCACCACTCTTCTGTCCGGTCTGCCACGCATTCTCGAGATTGCCGCTTTGTTCGGTGGCTTCCCCAAGTCTACCGCCCCTTCTCGCGGAATCTCCGTCGCCGCCGCGCCCTACCGCGTGTTCTACAGCCGCAAGAACTTCCTGTTCCCCGACCGCCAGCGCGGCCCTCACCGCAGCTGGAGAGATGAAGTGCGGACTATGGATAAGCTCTTCCTCAACGGCAGCGCCTACATGATTGGCAAGATGAACGGCGAGCACTGGTACTTGTACCTGACTGAACCTCATACCATGCTCACCCCGCCAACGAGCCCGGGAGCCAAGACCGAGTTTACGGAAACGGAGACTAAGGTCCTCAGCGTACCTCAGGGCGCTGCTCTGCAGACTGATTCTGAGGATGAGACTTTGGAAGTCTTGATGACTGACCTGGACGAGGAGAACGCCAAGCAGTTCTACCTCGAGCATGCCACTGCCGTGGCGGAGACCCGTTATCGCAACTTCGACGCGGAGAAGAGTGACCATGTAGATGTGTTCAGCAACACGTCCTCCGATATCAGCGACCTGGACTCCGAAGGAAGCCGGGTTCTGCCTCCGGAATTGACTACCGAGGGTCACGCTCTCGGAACTGTGGTTTCTGAAGCCTGTGGGCTTTCCTATGTGTATCCTAAGGAGAAGTATCCCGATTCGCGTATCGATGCCTACCTGTTCACACCATGCGGCTTCTCCGCCAACGGCGTGATTCCGCCTCCTGAAGGAAAAGCTGGAACCCACTACTTCACGGTGCACGTCACTCCAGAGCCGCATTGTTCATATGCGTCCTTTGAGACCAACGTGCCGCACTCGCAGAACGGCCAGACTACCGCTGGAATCATCAAGCAAGTGGTCGACATCTTCAAGCCTGGCCGCTTCAGCGTGACTCTCTTCGAGGCCAAGCCAGCGCTGAGCCAGGTCGAAGACGAGTGGAAGGAAGCCAAGTACCTGGCCGCTCGTCGGACCGCCAAAATGGAGCATGTGGAGGGATATCGCCGAGTGGACCGGATTGTCCACGACCTCGACGGCTATGAGCTTGTCTTCCGCTATTATGAACGCCTGGACTGGAAAGGGGGGGCCCCTCGGCTGGGAGAGGAGAAATATTGAAGAACAAGCCATAGCACGTTGAGATATCTTTCCTTGCGGAATTTGGTCGGACATTCTTTTGAGATGGAAATAGTTGCATTCCACATATTTTCTGCTTCTGTCCATCATTCGCTGAACAGCCTTTGCTCACCTCATTTGAGCTTGCAGATAATTCTTCGAGAACATGAGCGTTCGTTTCGTGTACAAAGCTCATTGACTCCCTGTACTCTCCTTATTGTTATGATTTTGCATTGAGCTACCCGAGCGTTTGCAATGAATATCTGATTATAATTCGTATACATACTTTCTTTCATTCGTATGCGAATATATTTTATCTAGAATATGTAGCCGAATCCAAAAAGGTAGAGTCGTACTAAAGTGTGTTGATCCAGTTGATGGCCTGCGCCAACTGGCATCGATTACGGATCGGCAGACCTGCCAGATCGGTCCGGAGTTTCTTTCTAGTTGGGATCACATCACAGCTCCAGCATGGCCTTCAACTTCATCGACCCACTGCGCCAAAGCTTGACCGCGAATTTCTCATAATTAACTACAAGAAGAATATAGACCCGCTTTTTCTCTTTGGGTTTTGCGGTCAAGTCAGTGAAAGAAACAGAACAACATAGTCAGACGGCCGACTGATATCAAACCAACAAGCAACCTCCGTCAAGACGAGCATCAAACCCAGCATCCAAAAGCCCCCTACAGGAGCTCACATACTTGACTCTTTTGTCTACTCTTTTTCTCTCTCATACGACACACTTCACAATGTCATCACCGCCGCCTCACCCAACGCCGACAAATCCCCTCAAACGGCCCTCCATCTCCTCCTCCGCCTCACAACCTCTCGGCTCCAACCCGAAACGCCCACGCATGCACCCCCTCCGGCAGACGTCCTTCCCGGCCAGTATAGACAATGACCAGCGCACATTCAGCGCCACTAGCGACGCGGGGAGTGTGACGGGCAGTTTCACAGGTAGTCTGGGCGGAACGAGCGCGGACGGGGTGTTCCTGGGGGCGGCGAAGAAGGGGAAACGCGGGCGCAAGAGTAAAGCCGAGAAGGAGCGGGAGCGCGAGCAGCGGGAGGATGCGGCGAGTTTGCGCGGGGACACGCGACTGGGGTCTGTGGATGCGGATGGGATGTCTGTACGGGCTGGTGGGATGGCGAGGGGGGATGCGGCCGGGGAGGAGGGCGATGAGGATGAGGATTTTGATGATGAGGGGGAGCTCCTAAGGGGTGAGGAAGGGGTGACAGATACGGAGGCCGAGAAGAAGAACCTTGCGTATGTTTCTCTCGCCCTGTTAGTGGCATCAGTGTGTTTCCAAATGCTGACGGTGGATTCCTGGGACAAAGGTTACTGGTGGATGCGTTCAATCCTATTCAGTCAGAGCGATACGATCTCTTCAAACGGGCCAAGCTGCGCAAGGAGACGCTGCGGCGAATTGTCAACCACGCGCTGTCCCAATCTGTTCCCGCCAGTGTCGTGACTACCATCAACGGTTTCACCAAGGTCTTTGCGGGCGAGATCATCGAGAAGGCGAGGACCGTTCAGGCCGAGTGGGCTATCGCCCATGATCAGGCCGCACGCGCTGCATTTGACGCCGAAGAGGCCGAGGCCGAGGCCAGGGCGGCTGAAGCGGCGGCGAAGGCAGCGGCTTCTGCTACGCCGGCGACGGGGGGTCAAGGACAGAGCCAGCCTCAACCGTCGGTCAAGAAGGAGCACTCAGACAGCAATCGCTCAACCCCAATCCCTCCTTTATCATCCTCTCCCATGCCGCAACAGCAGGCTTCGCAACCGTCCACGCATTCTATATCTGGTTTTCCGCAGCAGCAGCAAGAACAGCAACCCCCTCCAGCACGGCCGAAAAGGGAATTCAAGCCGCCGCCTAATCCTCACCGGGGCCAGCTGCTTCCTTCTCATCTTCGCGAGGCATTACGACGGTACAAGCGTGATGGCGAGGGTGGTGGTGTCGGGTTCTCGGGTTTGAGTATGGGTAACTTGGGAGTGAGGGGATCAGTCACCTGGAATGCGGGCAGCGCTGGAGGAAGACGAATCTTCCGATAGTAATGCTTTTCTCAGTTTCACTTACTTTTTGACAATGATGACATGATCAAAGCACTTCGGTTGTACATACACATACTCTAATATATCGTAATGATGCGTCGGGTGGCATGGTGTAGACGTACTTAGGGCTACTGTCTCTGCCGTCAAAGGACTGGCTCGTTCCGAAAGATAGGTACACTACAGGCAATTGAATTATTCTTACTTGACCGGGCATATGCTTGCATTCATCTCTAAACTGATAGAGACCAGCGGGATACATTATTCTCCAAACTCCTTGAACGGTTGACCGCAACTGCAACATCTCGCTACATCACGAAACCTCTTTCCCGAGTGACCGCACTATTGTCAAGTCAACCAACCTATCCTCAAGACAGTTAGCAAAGACCTCTTCCACCAAAGACATAGCGAACTCACCTAGCCAGACGTGACGAGCCACTGCCAGTCTAGGGCTAGGCCTAAAAAGGAAATCCAAGAATATCATCGTCGAAGCGGCGACGGCGACGGACAAGACGAACTCTCTGCGGGCCGTGGATCTCGTTGTGCTCGCGTGCATGCTGATCAAGGTAGACCTGCACCTGACGGATGAGCACTCTGAGTACATCCACGATAGCGAGGAGGATGATGATCTTGGCGGCCGTATGGAGGAAGAAGATCAGGCTGGCGTGTTTGGCCATGGGGGACTTGAGAGCGATTAGCTCGGTGGATGTTTTGTTCATTGTGTCTGTGCTTGTTGGTCAGTGTCTCTCTCTTACAGCGTTGAGGGTCGTTTGATGGTGCCTTGCTCACTTACCTTGAAGAAAGATGTGTGACTCTGGTTTGGTATGATGTCTCAAGCGGAAGTTGTGATGATGCTCACAGGACTGAATGCTTAGGATAAAGGATTTGCACGCTACTATGCTGTAGTGATAACTGCTCAGTGAGAAGGAGGTAGTTTCTCTCTCTAATGCTATTAGAACACATCGTTTGTTGTGGGAGAGGAGCCTTTGGGCTCGGCGTAATGGTTACGCTCGTTGCCTGACGATGCGATATGAGCATCTAACGACTCAGCGAAATCGTCTCGCCTGATTCGACGGTTCCCCATGGCAGTGAAGGTTTTTCTTTCATAGTGAAGATGGGAGAATCAAGCATCCTAGCCTGCACTGCTCATTCATCTCCATCTCTTCCTCCTGGATGTGGTACTTGTCTCTTTCAATTCTTGCACAATCAACACATGCGAACAGGTCTTTAACGTGAACTCGCCTTTTCTTTATCTTCTTTGCCGTACTGTTTTGCTTGTTGCCCTCTATCCAAAATGTCTGATAAGATTGAGGAAATCCATGAGATAGAGGAACCGGCCCAGAGCCAGAGTGAAGAGAATGGCGCTTCGTTGACCAGAAGAACCCATGCCCAGCGCGTGGAACGCCCTATGTCCGATCTGGACTCGAAGAATGGAGACACTTGGTCGTACGATGAAGAAACCTATCACCGAGGAGGCATTCTCATCCCGGTTGAGGTCCCGAATGACACCGCTCCGAGTGACAACGTGGACGTCAGGAGTGCAAAGCTCATTCTTCTCTTCGGTAAGTTTCCATGCAAGAGCGTAGGGAAAGGGAAAACCCCTTCTTAGTCAGGTGAAATAGTGATCAACTAATGAGATTCTATCTCTGTAGGCCCCCCAGCTGCGGGAAAGAGCACTGCCGCAGCAAACGTGGCCGCAGAGCTTGGATTCATTCACATCTGTCCCGATCAGATGATCGAGCGTCTGGGGAAGACAGGTCCATACCTCGCTTGGCTGAGGGTTGTCCAGGCCATTGAGACAGAGGGATCTGTGCCGGCCGAATTGCTGTTTCGTCTGGTGAAAATGGAAATCCAGAGGCACATGGAGTTTGGAGCGACTACCTTCATCATTGACGGATGGCCACACTGCTCCGAGGACTTCACTTTGCTGCACGAAGTGAGTTATCCATGACCATTGGCTCTGTAACATCCCATTCGCCTTGCTTTTACTTTACCATTAGCAGACGTTGACTCGAGATCGTCTAGACCTTCACTATCGTGTCAGCTTTTCATCTGTACGCAACTCAAGATACCCTTGAAAAGCGTGCGATGCAGAACCCCATGACTTTCGATGAAGGTACCAAACGCCTCAAGTCCTTCAGAGACGGAATGGTGAGGTACTATCAAGAGCTGGGTGATCTCCTCACTCTGGACAGCTTCAAAGACGTTTTGATCCCGGTACGTATACAGCCACAATTTCGAGAATCTGACAGGATCCACGGCCTAACTCCTTATGAGATGAGTGCCGAACACGATTACCAGGTCTTCTACCCGCAGATCAAGTTCATCATCGAGGTAGGGATCTGGAACCCAGCTTTGCAAAAATAGTGTTGATTGACAATACGTAGAAGAGACTTGCTCGGATGGAGGCTGCTTCGGAACTCGCACAGACTGAGACCTCGTCGGATGAGCATGAGCATGAGCCCGAGCCCGTTGGAGATGAAAACCTTGAATAGGCTTGCTCCTTGATCTTGTCTTCTTGGGTGATGATCTCAGGACTAGCAGTTGTCTCTTGGTTGCGTCATTCTGCTCTTGCACATTTTGACAAGCCTTTTTCAGCGTGTGTCTCAGGTGAGCGTATTGGCATTGGCCTTCGTGGTATCTCGTGTGGTTTGAGAATGGAAGAATGGCTGCTCGTTGCTGGAGGTTGAATCAGAAGCTCTCGTCACTGTTGCAACTGCAACGCAAGCCTGCTGACAAAGCAGCCTCTTTAGGATAATGAATGAAGAGATACTGTATTCCAAGAAAAATATCCTTTACCGTAGGAGAAGATACAAGAAGATTAAGCGCCTCATATTGTACAGTTGCAGACAGACCGTCACACCTGATACAGTAAAACCAAGAAAGAAGAATTTACGCCGATGCTTACCTTTGCTTGACCTTGAACGCCGAGCGCGCCTTTTCTCTTTCAAGCTCCAAGGCCTTCAGGTGAGCCTCGCGGCGAGCATGATTCCTCTCCTCCCGCTTCCAATCCTCTTCCTCCTTCCTTCTCCTCTCATAGTCGGCTGCCAACTTGAGATCCTTCTCGCCAAGCCGAGGAGGCTCGGCGATAGTCCCATCCGCGTTCTTCACGGGGGCCTGACCACGAACGGCGTCCAATTTCTCCGTCGTTTCACGCTTGATGTTCTCCTTGGCTTCCTTCAGGTTGTTCAAGGCGCGATCAATAAAACTAATCTCCACACTATCAGGCGACTTGTGCTGTTCCTGAATCATCTTGGCTCTTTCGGCCTCCAGATGCTCACGAAGCGTGCGGATCGACTTGCTCTGCTGCGAATCATCATGACCCGGGGACTGGCCGTTTTTAGGCTGCCTTACAGGGAGGGCGATGTTCATCGATTTTCTGAAGGTGTCAGAGCCGAGAAGGTAGGCTTGTCCCAGACCAAATAGACCAGTCGTCACGAAATAGAGCTGGAGGGCGCTGGGGAAGAAAGCCATGAAGAGAAAGGAGAAGGCAGGCAACCCAAACATGAGGAGTCTGCCTAATGATGTGCCCTGGAGCTGGTTCACGCCGTTTTCGCCTCCTTTCTACATAGGACGAAGACATTCAGAGTCAGTAACCAAGCCAGTAGCCCAAAGGATGAACGTCGACTTACCCGGATGCTCAGGTACATGAACAAAGACGACGCAGCGGGGAGTATGAAGTATGGGTCGGCAACGGTAAGATCCTTCAGCCAAGCAACGGATTCCATGGTCAGCCCGGGCACTGGCAAGGCTGCCATGCCCTTGACGACTCTGTAGCAACCGAAACCGAAGGGAATCTGAAGCATGGGAATGAAGGACTTCCATGCCACGATACCTTGCTCCTGGTGAAGTTTCTGGATTTCGGCTCGTAATTTCAACATTTCTATTTGGTTGCCATCCTTTCCACGCATAATCATCTGCTGACGCAGAGGTTCCGTGACGGGCTTGATATTGAGCATTTTGGTCGAGGTGTCCACAGCGCCCAGCGTGGGATACAGGAGTGCTAATCGGAGGAGAAGACCGGTTCCCACGATACTTGCCCACCAGGGCAAGCCTCCCCACATGTGGATATGTTCAATGAAAAACTGAATGATTGAGGACGGGCCCCAGCCGTAGTCGAGCCCTAGGTCTTTGAGGTATCCGATGTGCTCGGGGATCGAGCTGAGATCAGCGGCAGACAAATCAGAAAGGTCAGGTACACCCATATCGGTAGGAGCGTCCGACAAATGCTCACTCGCAGTGGCATCGGTTGCGGAAGATGTCGAATTGAATCTTGCGGATATGACTCCGGGAATGGAGGCGGCGGGCTTCCATGATATTTTCCCGGAAAGTGTCTGGGTAGGGCCTCCATAGCGTACAGGGAATCTCGAGCTCTGTGGTCTGAACGAAGAGATCTGCCGTATACCGAGTCAAGTCAGCCAAACGTCTACTCGCTTGCCGGCGGAGAAGAGGATATGGGGGGACAAACCGATCGGCTGGAGCGAGGGAAAGCAGTCAAGTGTTGTCGAGCAATGGTGGAGATTCCACCACGCCCCTTCAAACCAGCCCCTGCCAACATTGCGATATTTGGCCGCAGGAGATACCAAGTGGCTCACGAGCGACGGCGTTTTAGAGTGAAAAAACAACGGCTATATCCGCTGCCGACTGGCGGAGATTGGAACTTTTCCGCGCCAAGATTTGCTTTCTGCCGGGCGGCCGGAGTTTGTTCCTGATCCTGATATCGAAATACGTCCGAATACTACATGGGCAACAAGAGAGGAAGAGGATTATCGTCTGGGTAGAATATCAATTGATTTAGCTGGATGTTTCCATACTCGCAATGCACGGCGAAAGATGGACCGTGTCTTCGATTTGCAGAAGTCGAATTGCTTCGCCCCGACGCCGTCCAATCTGACCTACTGCTGGTGCCTTTTGGAATCTATGTACACATATACGCAACCCATGCTGAAGACATGGAAATGAACAACTGATGGTTCACGAACATTGGATATCAAGAATTTGCGCAGAGAGAAATCTATATTTGGTGCCTGAAGGCGCGCAATCACTCCAATGATGTAGTATCTTGCAGGCTTCCGGCTCTAGGCTGGCGCCGCGATGGAAGGTCGCGAATCTCCATGCCTGGTCCCATGGGCCTTGACCGTCGATAAGTAGGGAAAATCTAGACGAGACAATGATCAGTTCAGTTCCGTTGGAGATGAATCAATGTGCATTGGCGGATAATCGCAGGGAGACAGATACTGTACCCCTCAAAGCGATTTCATGGAACATACCTTTGTGTTAGACCAGCCAAGGCGAAAAGCAGCCTCATGTGCAAACAATTCCCCAAAGCCCAGCATCAACCCGTTGACAAAAGGGAGGATCAGATTGATCGCCGCCCCCCGCAAGATGCCCCAGATCGACGGAGGCTTGTACAGAATCAAGGGCGAACTAGATGCCGACATAGGTGATGAAACTTCATGATTGGCAGAGTATATTTCCGAGTCTGAGGGAACCGTCAGACCCGAGTCGTAAAGCTCAACCCTTGAGTGGGAGTGTTCGTCGGCCATGCTGCGGGGAGAAGAACGCCGGTTGACAGGAATCGAAGCAACAGGAGCTCGTAGACGGTAGAGATCGGACGACTATCGAGGATATACCTGGCACAGCTTGATCTCCAGTACCCGATCAATATCGCTTTGTACCTTGCATGAAAAACCGTATG